TAGATGTGCATGGGAGGCAGGCAAGGCATGGCTGGGCACATGCAGCAACAGAGGGGGGGTCACTGACGGGCATCTCGGTGTCGATGTGAACGATGATGATGGTGATGTCGTCCGTCCTCGTCTCATACTGCAGCCACAGCCGGTACGACTCCGCCACGATCTCCTCACACGCCGCAAACGGATCGTTGTGCCGAGCCACCTGCCGGGGGTGAGGGTGAGCGTGGAGGGGAGGCGTGGACGCAGAGAGACGCGCTTATGCTACCAGCCAAAGTTTGCAAAACTTGCCGGTGCGCGTGCTGCACCCGTAACAACCAGTTTTTTAGCCAATGCAATCATCCAGTGCACCATGCAGTTCCCCACGTCGTGCCCCAACCACACACATCATGCTTCTTGCCGTGTGTGCCATGATCCATGCTGTATGCTCTATGCTCCATCCTCCATGCTTCACGACCCATATTTCATTCCTCATGCTTCATCGCCCATGCTTCATGTCTCGTTTCATTCCCCATGCCCCATGTCCATTGCCCAACGCTCCATGCCCCATGCTCCATGCTCCATGCTCCACGCCCCATGCTCCATGCTCCATGCTCCACTGCCCATGCTCCATGCCCCATGCCCCATGCCCATGCCCATGCCCATGCCCCATGCCCATGCCCCATGCCCCAAGCACCATGCTCCAACCCAAGCCCCAAGTCCCATACTCCGTATCCCGTGCCCCAAACCTCTCGCGACTCACCATGTTAACCACGTCTTGACTGCTCAGGAACTCAAACACGCCATCGCTCGCAATCACAAAGAACGGGTGCCGCTCCGACAGCGCCACAGTCAGCACCTCAGGCTCCGCGCACACGCCAATCCGCTCCGCCACCGAGTCCCCCAGACTCCGCGTGAAAGCCGTCCCCGGATACATGCCATTCGCCACCCACAACCGCGGCGGATCCCCGTCGTCGTCGTCCTCCCCCCCCCAGCACTGTACGTCCGGATCCTTGAGCCCTTCCAGCTGGTCTAGGGTTAGCACGCGCGCGCCACATGCGCGCACGCGCGCGCACTCGTCCGCTCTGAAGGGGGTTTGGTCGCTCGAGAGGTCTACTGCACGCAGCGTAGCGCCCCCTGCTGAGTACCCCTGCTTCTTCTCCTTTCCTTTCCCCGCTTCCCCCCCTGCCCCGTCTGCTGCTCCTGCCCCTCCTCCTCCCCCTGTTCCTCCTCCTCCTGCTCCTTCTTGCCCGTCTGCAACCACAGCCCCATCCTCACCAGCTTTTCTCGTTCCTTCTGCTGCTCCGCCCTCTCCCCCGATCCGCCCTTCCCCTCCGCCCGCTCCCTCGGCGCCCTCCCCATCCCCCCTACCCGCGGCCTCGTCCATGTGCCATTCCGCCAGAACCGCGCGCGAGTCCCCCACGTTAGCGGCGTACAGCATGCGATCGCGCAGCAGCACGACGATGCCCGTGCTACCGCTCATCGTGTCGTCGACGTGCGACCGGTGCAGCTCAACATTCGTCGTCACAAACGCATCCCTGAACGCCCGAGGAACGTCCGCATCCAACGCAGGGTGGTTCAGAAGGTTCCGCGCAAGCACGTCCCGGGAAAACTGCGAGCACGGCGTGCCTTGCTCCCCGTGCCCGTCGAACACGCCAAAGAGGTGGTCCGACGGGAGCCCTCCGTATTGGGGAACCACACAGAAGCTGTCCTGATTCGCCTTTCCCGGGGCTTCGGGATAATACCCTCGCTGCGTCAAGTAGGAGAAGCGCAGCCAGAAGCCGGCTCCTGGAACCTCGAGCACCATTGCGCCGGATTGGGGCGGGGGGGGTTGGATGACAGGCGGAAGAGGTTGACGTGGCAGCTTCTCTTTGGCTGCGCCTGCAGTGGCGCTGGCGTCAGCATCAGCTGCACTGGTGGTCTGCTGCGTATGATTCGTCTGAGGCAGAACGGCAGCGGGGATATTGTTCACTGCTTCGGCTTGAGAATCTCTCTTAGCTAAAGACTCTGCTTCTTGTCTTTCTGCACCAGCCTCTGGCTTTGATGCTGGTACACCGGTGGTACTCGCGCTAAGCGACTGACTGGGTTCAGAGCTCGCGGGTAATTTTCCCTGAATATCGGAGCCAGGCGGTTGTTGCTGCTGTGCCAGTTGTTGCTGAACCTTCTCCTGCTTCCGCCGGCCCTGCCCTTTCCGCTTATCAGACGCCACGTCAGCATCATGATTATCAGGCGTCCCAGTAGAGAGCTCGTCGACGTCTTTAAGAGTGGCCTTGGAGCTTACGCACCCCATGGCGTATCGACGGAGCCGCGGAGCACTCGCGTTACTAACGTCTCGCACGAACTGCGGCGCGACCTTAGAAACGTGCTGATGGACTGATCTTGAGGTATTATATTGCGACGAGCAGACCTAAGTCGTCAAATTGTTCTAACGAGCTGCATCGAAATGACCTAAAATGTTGCTAATGTGTCGAGCTGACCTAAATAGTCGAGTTGCTCGAATTAATCAAGATGTCCTGAGTCCCAGGTTGCTCTAATGCGTCGATAGGCGCTGGAATGGACAATTCTACGGAGCCACACAGGCCATGGGTACGGGTTAATGAAAGAAATTAGCAGTCCCGGCTCATGTGAGGTCAGCACTGCGTTTCATCAATATCGCGACATGCAACCTATAATTGCACAAACGGAATGACCGAATGCAAAGGTGCAGCATTAGGGTTCCTAAACGTAAACCGCAATCGAAAATCCCGTCAGGCAGAAACGCCGACAGGCAGCATCAGTGCGAGGAGAATAGCGACTGCATCTTTAAAAAATCAGAACGTCGGACATTGACTGTTCCATACGAAGCATCTAGCAATTTCTCGCCACGAGCAGCACGAGCGCTCGCCGTAATGCTACATCGCAGCCACCGACGCCTGCTCGGGACGACGCCATGGCGCGCTGCTAACTATCACCCGAAATATCTCTCAGCCCCCATTAGAATCGAGAAAACCCTAAACAAAAAGACACCCACGTCTTAGTCCAGAAGGTCTAGTGCATCGAGGTGCGATCGTCCTGAGCGCCAGGGATACTAATCAGCAGCCCATGACCGACCTAAGTCCTAGACTCCCTAAACTGCTAGAACTATTCGTCTATTCGTCCGACTGCTCGTCAACCGAACAAAAAGACAATGCCCATGGCATTCCCGTAACGCACGCACTGACGGGATGAAACCGTGGAGGCACGGAAGGAGCAGAAGCAGACACCAAGGTGTGCAAGTTGCTGACTGGACGCAAATCCCAAGGTGGAAGGGGTGGGGTGGGGTTTGATTTGCCTGTCTGCGCTGCTTCCCGCCAAAGGCACTGTAGATTGGCAGCAGTTACTGTGGTGGACCAGCATTCTGAGTTGCGTCGCGTGGCGTGGCCGTGCGATGCTGGCGACCGTGTACGACCAGGTGCAGCCGAGAGCAAAGGGCCTCAGGTGGACGGCAGCTTGAGTGTACCATGGATGTTAGAAAATGACATCTCAATGATGATGACAAAATATTAATATAATTAAATTATATCAATGGGCACTAAAATCCTAGCAGTTCTCTAGAGTTCGCCAACATGAAACTTAGAGTAGAGTGGTCAAATTTTCTAGCGAACAAAAAACAATTTCGTAGCTCTCCATTCAATGCACAATAGCCCCCTTCAGTTGACTGCAAGAAACCACCATAGGATAGAGCAGCAGAAATGCCTTCAGATACCAATCAATGAGGAGCACATTGCATGAAATATGGGAAGAAAATAACATCGGAAAGGTACAACAATATGCAAAGAGTACTCACCAGAGGAGGTCGGGGGCCACCACTAGGATTGGTTATCTGCAAGATACACATACCGAATAAAACACCAGTACCCAAATAATAGAATGAAAACAAGGATGTGTTGGGATTGGTGGAACCACAGAAGCATGGCGGGGGGGAGCATGGTGGTGGGTCAAGGAGTAGCAGACAATCATAATATTTACCAAACAATGAGGGGGCACGGAGGTTGCAAAGTGGGGGGGCGTCCATCGAGGGAAACAGAAGTGTGTGGAAGGACTTACATGTGAGTAGTTGCTTGAGAAGTCTTTCCAGAAGGACCGGAAAGAGACGAACTGCGTGGCAGACTGCAGGGGGGTTAGGGGAGAGAGAGGGAAAGTGAGAGAGAGGGAGAGGGAGAGAGAGCAAACAACCATATTGCGCAGTAAAACGATGCAGTAACCTTGCTCATGCCACATTGCATTGTTTGTTGCTCTCACAGTACAGTTGCGCAGATTCGACGTAGAACAGGCACCCCAACGCACAGAACCTCGATCATTCGGATTTCTTATCCCTACCTTGATCATCCGGATCACATCCCGCGTGGTGTTGCTCCCATGGTAGAACCTCGGGTGCCATTCGTTCGCACTCCAGTCAGCAAAGGTCGTCGGGTAGTGGGATATGCCCTTGGGGTCTTGCATCTGAATACAGAGTCAAATGAGGCCGAATCAAAGGTATGCGAGAAAAACTTGAAAAGGAGGACTACTTTCTTATGCTACTCGCGCTCTCGGAAACCATTCATATGGAAGGTGTTCCATGAATCCGTTCGTTTCTCTTGCTTCAGCGAGCCTGAATACAGCAACTCACATGCAGCATGGTTTGAATGTAGTGCTCATCCGCGCAGCACACCTTCCCCCATTGAAACCGAAACTGCAAGCAGGTGAGTGGAAGCAGATGCAGCGAGGAGCCGGGTAGACGGGTTTAGAAGGCTGCTTGCACTGACAGGCAGGGAAGGTTAGCTAATGAACAAGGAACGGAAACCTTCAATTGTAGCATAGTGTTCATTTGCTCCCGCACCAGACAACCTCCATATGCTGCATGTTGCAGTGCTTCCTATCCCCACCATCACCAGCATTGCCAGTCCCCCACCATCACAAGCAGCAGTGGTGAATCTACTCGCGACTCACCTGTGCTTAAGCCCTCATTCCCCATTCCTACCCTGCAGCTCCTATTGCGCATGCACAGCACGGCACCCACCCATCTCCCTTCATTCCCTCATTCCCCGCCTCACCGCGCAGCTCCGGTTGTGCACGGCGTAGTGCTGCGTGTCCTGCACCACCAGCTGCGCGTGCCGGCGCTGCAGCACGAACCACTGGTTGCGCTTGCGGTAGTCGCGCGCGTCCACCAGCGGCTTGAAGATGTGCGGGATGTAGCGGCGGAAGGTCGCGTTGTATGGGTCGGGGTAGCTGCAGGAAGGGGGTAGAGGGGAGGCGAGTAGTGAAGCAGAATGAAGGCGCGACTATCAACGGACTGGCGAGAAGATGTGCGGAATGTAGCAGCGGAAAGACATGTTGAAGGGGTCGGGGTAGCTGCAGGGGAGGGGAATGTTGAAGCGGCATGACGTCGTGCAAGTGATGGGGGTGAAGTCGTCGGGATGTAGCGCTATGATGCAATGTAGCGCTACGATGGGATGCAGAGCTATGATGGGATGCAGAGCTATGATGGGATGCAGAGCTATGATGGGATGGAACGCTGAAACTGTGTAGCGCTGTGTGAACTCTACATAGTAAAATCCGAGTAAAATCACGGGGTCAGATGGTCAGGCATTGACGAAGCTGATAGGGTCAGATAGTAACCTGGTGTGACTCACACAATCACGAAGCTGACGGAGAGAACAGGACTCACGAATCGACGAAGCTGACGGAGGTCGAGGCGACGTATTGGTGAACGAAGTCGAACGACCACAGCGGAATGCAGCTGCGCACAGGAAGGCGAGAGACGGGGAGGATTGGGAGATTGGGGGGGGGGGGGGGGGGGGGGGTGGCGGGAATAAGGGGAAAGGAGGCTTAGGTGGAGAGAAATTACGAGAATTTACAAAGGTATCTGGAAATTGAGGCGAATCGAAGCAACTGCTTCTAAAGATCGATGTTGCTTTGAGTTCTTGCTTTGCGTGCGACGTCTCTGCGTGTATGTGCGACGACCATGCGAGGACGTCATTCCAGTACCTTTCGGAGAGAAGCGCGAAGTGCTGGTTTTCGGGGTCCTGCAACGCCGCTGCCAGCAGCCGCCGTTCCGCGTCCACCATGCTTATACCCCCCCATCGCACCTGACGGACGGCCAAGAGAAGGGGAAACAAATATCAAAATAGGAGAGATAAAGAAAGGCTACGATTCGTCGGTGCTGAACTATATGATGGACCCGCAGTAACTAACCAGTTTCGTGAACATCACACACGACGCGTCCAGCAACGTTCAATATGGTGTTCTGGCGAGTTCTACGCGTTTCCCTCCGTGCTCACCTCTCCCCCTGGGATGAGACTGTTTCTGAAAATGGCCGGCGAGTCAGCGGGAAAGGCGAAGGAGGTGTTGGATGCATGCACGTAGACGGAGTACCGGCCCTCGTGCCCCGCGAAGAATTTCTCCCAGAGCGGAGCGAATGGGAGTGGCCCACGTGTCAAGAGAGAAACGCTATCTTCCCATTTTGACGGTTTTGGCGATTGACGTCCAATTGCGACGATTTTCCGTTCGCCAAGTAAGGATAGCTGCGGGAAGTTGTTTTCACTAAAGCAGACCTAAATATGGAGAAATCGACCCAAAAGAGAGGAGATAGTACGCCGAATATGACTACCACCGAAGCAAGCAATCGCAGAAACGTGTTTGCGGAAAGGGGTTTCATCGAGTATGACTCATTTAGCGATCTGGACGAGGACGAGTGGCGTAACAGCAATGGGGTCGTGTGATCTACATTTTGGTTGAATGCCCTACCGTGAGACAGCATCGTGTTCGCCGCAGTTTAGGTAACGAAACTAGACGGAATGTCTCGAAACTAGGTAAGTTGCGTTAGATCAGGAGCCGTCGTGAGCAGCAGGGAGACGGAAGGAGCAAGCAATCAAAAGCGACAGAGGGCAACGGTATTGTTGACAAGCAAACAACAAGCTAGCCAGGCAGGGGTGTACTTCGGATCGGTTCGGAACCTGGTAACTGGGTCTAGAAGACCCCAGTGCAGAGCAGAGAGACCAACGGCAAGGTTGGAAATTGGAATGACACGGAACGGAATGGATGTGGGGGAGGGAGGCCGACACATGAGCGTGTTGGGAGTGTGTTGTGAATGTCACCCAAGCCCGGCCCCAAACCGACAGCGTTTCGGGAACCCGACAGGTGAATTGACAACGGGACTAGGCTAGGGGGCCGAAATACACGACCAGGCCAAACAAGGTTGCTTCGTCTGGTAGCCCCAGACGTGGTTGGGGTTCCAGGCCTAGCAGGAATCTTTTTCGTAGGAAACTCGAGTGAACAATGACGATTGTGTATGACGACGGTTGAGTTCGTGCGCTGCCACGGAAGCTTGGACGACGGGGGTGAAACGTGGCTCAGAACCGAAGGCGAAAAGGGTAACCGCATATCATTTTTTCTCTGCTGGCGGTCCTCACAGCGCAGAGTCAAGGGACAGGGCAGGAGCGTGAGCCCGTAATTCCGCGCGTCGTCGGATGCATTCCCGCGGAGGTGATGCGACTGGACTGTGTACCTAGCCATATGCCCAGCAAATTGAGGGAACACCAGCGCCGCCATTTACGAGGCGGTTCGCTGTGTGAGCCAAATGTTTGGCAAAATGGTTTGCGCTTCGATACTACTGTCTTCAGTAGTATATAGCAGGTGTTCACCGGACAGTCTGTTTAGGACTTCCAAATGTTTCAAGAATTGGGCACCTTGTGGTGCACGTTCATTTCTCTGCTTACTTGACTTCAACACATAATAAAGCCAAGAAACACAATAGAGGCATAAGCTATGAACTAGTCGTCAGAAACCAAGGACCTGCTGCGAGTTCTTCAGCAGGTACGGTAATGAGGACACGTGGAATTTCCTTGCAAACAGGAAGCAGTTCCGCACCTTGCCCTCCACGACACAGAACCCATTCTCAACCGTCTGCAGAGCAGGTCAAAGAAGTGAGACACATGAGACGAAGGCATACATTGCATGTGCATGGGCATGTGAGATGAAGGCAGGCAAGGCAAAGCAAGTGCAAGGCCACATGGGATCAAGCAGACAAAACACACGCATTGACAAAACACATGCAATGAAATTGCTATGCCAGGGCAACAGCGACCATAAGCCACAGAGCAATCAGAGGAGCAAGACTTGCGGTTAGATATGCAGCCAGAAATAGAAGGGACTTTTGAGAGAGAACCTACTGGAGCAGGTTGAGGTTTCTTAGGGTTTTCAATCTGCCAAGAGCAAAGGCAAGTACAAGCAGAGCATGGCACAACAGTATCGGATGCATAAGGGCATGGGCGGATGAAACAACTAGACAAGCATGGGCACATCAAAATCTAGATGTGAATTTTAGTGGATACCAGGATATTTAGGTGGGATAAGAACGGACGGCTGCAACTTACATAGGTATATCTATTTCTGAACTTCTTCCAGTAGTAACGATACTGGATGTAATGCTTTGTGGACTGCTCACCAGGCAAACAAACATCGGCGACAGGGATGATATAGGGGAGAGAGAGGATGGAAGGTGGCAGAAGGAGGGAGGGGATGAAGGGGGGAGGTTTGGGAAGAAGGGGAAAAGGGAGGGAATAAAGGACGGATGACTTGGATGGCGAGGGGGACAAAGGAGGGATGAATTGGATGGGGAGGGAACATAGACATAGGAGTAACACATAGGGAGGCACGGTCCAAGGACAAGATAAGGCATGAATGTCAAGCAGCCCAAGGCAGAGCTGGAGGGGCAGGAGGCAGCACGATGGAGGAGCAGAAGACAGCATGGAAAGACATGGAAGGCCAGGAGGCAGCAGGGGAGAGGCACGAATATGGACAGAGGAGGATTCAGGCCCGTGCCTGCTTATCCAAAGCTGTGCTCGCCATAGGAGAGGGAGCAGAACGGGGGATTGAGGGGCCATATTGCACCAGGCTAAAGCTGCAGAATGCCCGTCCATCAGCGATACAATGTCCTGGCAAAGTAACCAGTGTTTTGATAACTGGTTCAATGCCCGAACCGAACCATATCGTGCCAGTTAGAAATGTAAACCCCCCAGTCAGAAATGTACAATCCCTGGAGCCTAATGGATGGCTTGAGTGCTGCCCGCCCTAGAAGATTAGTGAGGCACCTAAAAACACACCGCCCTAGAGAGTAAGAAGCTGTGCCGCTGTGCGTGGCGCACATTGATGTTTTTTAAGAGCTCGCCGGTCATGTTGTACGAGTAGTACGTCTCGGGGTGGAACCGCCACTGGCTGATTGCTCCAGTGCCGCCCAGCTGAGAGAAGAATGCGAGAAGCCCAGTGTAGAGAGGAAGAGACTGTGTGGCGCACCTTGATGGTTTTGAAGAGCTCGGCGGTCATGTTGTACGAGTAGTACGTCTCGGGGTGGAACCGCCACTGGCTCCAGTCCGCCAGGGTCACAGGGAAGCGCGAGATTCCCGCTGGGTCCTTCAGCTACGCAGAGAGGCGAGGAGAGGAGGGCAAGCGGCGAGGAGAGGAGGGGCGAATGAGTCACAAGTGTTCCATGGTGAGAGGCTCAAAATTTGATATGCCTAATTCAAGAATGAGAGAGTTGATGGTGGAAACAGGAGGGACGAGCGAGTGAGGTCACGAGGGCATGGGTTGCACGAGGGGGAACGAGGGGCAGGGAGGGAGGAGGAAAGAATAGGATACTCTATGGGTTGTGCCTGTGTGGAAAGCGGCAGGGCAGAGAGACATACAGCGAGGAGGATCTGAAGGTAGTGCTCGTCGGAGCAGCAGTACTTGGAGTGCTGCGCCCTCCACTGCCAGGCGTAGAGGCAATGGTGGTGGGGGCGTGGGGGATGGCGGAAGAAATAGGTGAGAGGATATAACAGATTCGAGCAGCAGGCTTTGGCATTTTGTTCTGACATTTTCGCATTTAGCTCCCAGACCTGACGAGTCCGTGAAAGAGCCTGACATGCTCTGCGCGAGATTGCACAGGGGAGATGAGGAGAGACAGGGGGTCGATGGTATGGAAAGCTGCACGGGGATGTTAGGAGGACAGGACCGGCTGCATCTCACTCACCTCCGCACCAGCCGTGCACCAACCCCTTCCCGGCCGTACCTGGCAGGACTCGGAGTGCACGAGGTAGTGCTCCGTGTCCTGCAGCATGAGCTCGGCGTTGGAAAGGCACAGGGGGGCGCATTTCCCCTCCTTCCCAGCCGACCACCCTCCCCTCCCCTTTCCGCCCCTACCTGGCAGGACTTGGAGTGCACGAGGTAGTGCTCCGTGTCCTGCAGCACCAACCCCGCGTGGGAATGCTATGAGGGGCCGCATTTTCCTTCCCACCAACCGACCACCCTCCGCGCCCCTACTATACCTGGCACAACATTTGAGTCGACTTAAGATCCCCTTTCCGCCCCCTACCTGGCAGGACTTGGAGTGCACGAGGTAGTGCTCTGTGTCCTGCAGCACGAGCTCCGCGTGGGAATGCTATGAGGGGCCGCATTTTCCTTCCCACCAACCGACCACCCTCCGCGCCCCTACCATACCTGGCACAACATTTGAGTCGACTTAAAATCCCCTTTCCACCCCTACCTGGCAGGACTTGGAGCGCACGAGGTAGTGCTCCGTGTCCTGCAGCACCAGCTGCGCATAGGAATGCTACGAGGGGCCGCAACTTTCCTCCCTACCAACCGAACCGACCACCCTTTCCTTCGCCTTCCCGGCCGTACCTGGCAGGACTTGGAGTGCACGAGGTAGTGCTCCGTGTCCTGCAGCACGAGCTCGGCGTGGCGGCGCTGCATGACGAACCACTGGCTGCCCTTCAGGAAGTCCTTGCGCCTGATGGCCGGCATGTGGATGTCCGGCAGGTACCGCCCAAACGCCTCGTCAAACGGGTCCCTGTGCCTGCACGGGGGGAGGGGGAGGGTGGAATGGGGGGGACGGGAGAGGAGGGGGAAAGAAGGCGCGTACTCGTGTTGGGCTGATGGCCGGCATGTGGATGTCCGACATTACACCCAGACGCCCCGTCCGCATGCCTGCACGGGGACGGGAAGGAAGGAGAGGGGCTGCGTGGCGGAGGAGGTGGGAGGGAGGACGCGGGTGAGGCATAGGTAAGCAGTCGTTCATCAGGCGTGTGACATTCTCATATCAAATCTCTCCTTCAAATTGCTACCATGGGCTGTGTTGCAACAAGAGGGTGGGCGAAGAAGGACGTGTGGGGCGGGGTGGGGGTGGGGAAGGGTCGGGGATGTGGGGGAAGGAAGAGATGTGTCGATGGGTGTTGGAAAGGGGAATCGAATACAAAATGATAGAATACACTTACGCCTCGACGAAGCTGATGTGCGTGCTGGAGATGTAATTGTGGATGTAGTCGAACGACCACAGCGGAATGCACCTGTCACCGTCGTGAAATACGCGCCAGACAGTGAACCGCGGGGTAGCCATGGCAAGGACGGGGAAAAGGAGATTGAGAAATGATGAGACGCGGCGAGAATAGGAAGACAAATGCCACATAGAGAATTAAAAGGCGAGAGAGCATTGGGAAAAAAACAGGGAAAAATCGAAGCGAATTCAGTGGGTTACCACCCGTCGAAGGACTCACGATTCCGAGACGAGGACGAAGTACTCGTTTCGCTTGTCCGTGACGGCGTAGGCCAACAGGCGTCGCTCGGCAGCCACGACGGACATTCGACCCCACTCCACCTGCACCACACACGCCGATACAGAGTCATCATGCGGAACTCGGACACGCGAATTCCACGAAACTCATTGAATAGCAATCGTCACATAACCGGATACCAATTTTGCGAAATCTGGTAAAAGCTACCCGCTCAACAGGAACAACGGATTGACGCAAGAAAGCTACCCGCATGAGACACAAAGCCAGCTAGAGGTGCGGCGCGCACCTTGCCGCCTGGTATTTGCCGGTCAACGAAGACTGGCGAGAAGTTGGAGGGGAATGTGAAGTTGGGCTGCGAAGCGTGCACGTACACGGCGTAGCGACCCTCGTGACCCTTCAGGAAGACAGAGTGAGGGAAAGAGGGGGATCGAGAACGCAGCGAAGGACAGGGACGAACGGAATTCCATTAGGGAGAGCTTGATGTTTTGGGAAGGATGTGCATAGGAGAACACAAGGTAAGCCTGAAACTCCAACCCTAATAAAAACAGTTGCAGACTTCTGGATTTAGTGCGAAGCCAGCGCAGACTCTTGGGCATTCGTACATAGAAAAACTTCTCCCACAGAGGAGCCAATGGCAGCGGTCCACGCGTCAGGAACATGAATGCAATTCTCCCTCCCGCATCGGCTGGCTCCGCGGGAGCGCCATAGCGAAGCAGGGATGTCAGTAGCGGGGATAGCGTTGCTGATAGAAGGAGGAAGAAGAGGGACGAGACGAGGAACGAAAGCACGAAGACCAGTGCCAAGGAGCAAAGCACGCGGCATATCCTCTCCGGCAGATAACCTTTTAGAGGCTTCTTATCCACTAGCCTCCCACCCTCGGAGATCATGGTTGTCTACCCAGCCTCTAATGGCTACTATAAACAAATCGCTCTAGGTGCTACTTGAAAGGTTCTAAGAACGATCTGGACGAGCAGACAGGAACGGGGGTCCTCGCCGTCGATCTCCTCCTGATCGAGCGCAATCTACGCGTCATAATCTTAATTCTGGTGTTTCCGCTGCCAACATCGTGAGATTTAAAGAATGAACTGCGCAAAGCATGCAGTGACGGTCACTTTTAGGGTTCAGAAGTTGAAACTGAAGGCCAGAAGGTCGTGTGGACTACCATCAACGACTACTCTGTTCCACACTCATAACTTGCGTTGCGCCGTAAAGATTAGGGCTCCCGTCACGAACACGTCACAGGTCACTGATTATCACAGGCCGAAATATGTCAAAAACACCGTCAAATCATCAATTGAAGTGGACGTGCTCTATCGACTATGCCCCACCAACAGCTTTTAGACACTTTCAAATTAGTGATGGCTGCTGGTCGTTGGCGGCGCAAGAGGAGAGGAGAGGCGAGAAAAAATGAGAGGGTTGGTGTGGATATGGCAAGGAAGGTGAAAGAGATGTGAGGGGAAACCGAGGGACGAGGGAGAATCTACCGCGATGGAATCTCGAGGGTCTACCTCGGGATAAATTTTTTGGCAACATCAGGTATGGGAGCTTTGGAGAAGGAGAGATCAGGCTCGGAGCGAACCAGGAGAAACCTGGCGGGCCAACATCATAGACATGCAAATTAGTCTGGTAACCCTATCCAATGGTATGCAAAACCGTCGATACCCTAGTTCTGCTGCGCAAGTTTGTCTGGTAGCGCCACTCAAAACACTGTGTAACAGCTGACGCAGCACAAAAAAGGAAGAAATATGAGATATAATCAGTTTTGTTTTCAATTTCGTATCTTCGTGGTTCTTACCGCGCCCCGTTTGGCGCCTAACAATTATTCCTCCGGGCTACTATTTTCCGCTAAATGTGCACGATACATTTACGAAAAATCCATTGGAATAAAAATATACGGGGTCCATTTTATAACAATTTATTGCACCCAATATATTGCTACCGAGAAGTGTTAGGGCAGGGCTGAAAAACAATAAAACCCCTAGGGACCTGGACGCATTTCCGGGAGGGATAAACCCTAAACATAGGAAAAGACATTGTTTTTAGGGTTAATGCCTCCCTGACGCATCCCGTTCCGACTGGGGTTTATTTTTTTCTTGGCCCGAAGAAATCACGTTATAGTGCGAAGGCAAGCGCGGTAAGGATCAGTCTTTGAATTAAAAACAAACGCGTTACTAGGGCAGCATGCCAATACCTCCAAAACTGAGGTAAGACGGTTTTGCATACCATTGGATAGGGTTACCATACTAATTTGCATGTTTATGATGTTGGCCCAAACCTGGCTATAGCGGCCTATCATGTCAGTGACCAATGAATTTGAGGTGTCCCCCCACCGAATGCCTTGATTGAGCCATTCAATGGGCCAACATCATAGACATGCAAAATAGTCTGGTAACCCTATGCAATTGTATGCAAAACCGTCGATACCCCAGTCCTGCTGCGCAAATTTGTCTGGTACCGCCACTCGAAAACACAGTCTAACAGCTGACGTAGCACAAAAAGGAAGAAATCGATTGCGTTTTCGATTTATTTTCTTAGTGGTTCTTACCGCGCTCTGTTTGGCGCCTAACAACGATTTTTGCGGGCAACAATTTTCCGCTAAATGTGCACGATACATTTAGCGGGAAATTCTGTTGGAATGAAAGTATACGACGACGACGCTACCGGGAACTGTTAGGGCAGGGCCGGAAAACATAAAACCCACAGGAACCTGGACGCATTTTCAGGAGGGATCAACCCTAAACACGGGAAAGGGCATTGTTTTTAGGGTTGATGCCTCCCCGAGTCGCATCCCTTTCCGATTGGGTTTTATTTTTTCCTTGGGTCAGGTAGTGAACAGTGTTGCTAATCTGGCGAAAACAATTGCCCGAAGAAATCATTTTGTAGCGCAAAGCCAAGCGCGGACGAAATCAGTGGTCAAGTAAAATAAAAACGCGGTATTAGGTAAATACGTAATTACCTCCAAAATGAGGTATCGACGGTTTTGCATACAATTGCTTAGGGTTACCAGACTATTTTGCATGCCTATGATGTTGGCCCGCCATTCAATAGTCAAATTAGCTCGGGCACTGAAGGCTCGGCACGAGTTTCGGATTCTGACGGCTCGCAGGGCGAGTTTCGTTCGGTTCGGGCCAAACCACTTTACAACTTCGTCCCCAACGAGGTTTTAGCTACGGCTAATTTGACGAGCCTGCTCCTGAAGTACAGCACACGACAGGAACTGTAACTTGCAAGCCAGTCAAGCACGCGAACCGCCTGCATAGTACGGCGGCTGTCCCCTGTACGCATCAACAGAGCCTTCTTTCTATAATATGGCTGAATTTATGCACTCAAACCAGTTATCATCCATGCACATACAAGCGATAACTCACACTCCTCCAATACTTACGTTTGATTTTCTGAACAGCCTTCTATCTCCTCCACAACGAACAATCATGCGAGATGACCTGAACTTCCATCCAGAATGAATGAAAACCATCAAATGTCCAGGCATTGGAGCAACAGTAGACATTACAGAACAATGCGATGGCTGAGGCACACCTAACGATATGGACATGAAATTCCTCGTAAGCTCGATCATTGACGCCTCGCTGAAAATAAAGTTGTAGGTCATTGGTTGATTTGACACAGTCAGTCCAGCGTGCAGACAGCGAGGTAGACTCACGGAGCGACAGAGTGTCGTCTGCGGCTTGTATCTTCTATCTTCTATCTTTGACAAGAAGTCGATTGGTTCCACGAAGTTAGCCCGACGAGCAGACACAATCGGATAGAGGGGCGGGCCGGAAGACACGAACAGACACCATTGGGAAGGCGTGTCACGAGAGAGAATTTGGCAAACGGACGAACGGACGGACAGAGGAACGGACGGACGGACGGACAGACGGACCGACGGACGGACGGACGAACGGACGGACGGACGGGCAAGCAGCAAGTGCGGAACGCGCGGTGAAGTAGGGGGCTTCCGGCATGGAGCCGGATGGGAGCATCGAGTCGGCGTCGGTGATCCGCGTGGTGGTGCTGCAGGTGGGCGAGATCACCGCGTCTGCCTTCCGCACCTACTCCAGCCTCATCATGAAGCACAGGTGCGCACCTACTCCAGCCTTATCATGAAACACAGGTGCGCACCTACTCCAGCCTTATCATGAAACACAGGTGCGCACCTACTCCAGCCTCATCATGAAACACAGGTGCGCTCACGCGTTCCGCAGCCTTGGGAATGGCATTAGGGGCATGGGAAAGTGACAATGCCCCAACAATGGACCTCGTCCCCTGCTTGCGCTCTAGCACTCCCCGCACACCCGCTCCTCGCTGCCCTTCCCCTCGCCCTCCGCCCATCAGAGTGATGCCGCTGCAGGGCGTGTTCGGGTACTACAAGGAGCACCAGAAGAGCCCCTTCTCGCACCAGGTGAGACGCCCCTTTCTTGGATTGAAACGCCTTCTCGCATCAATGCTCGATCCACTCACACGGTTCCAGACCCCAGTGGTTTCGCCCGCTCTGGAATGTGCTTCGCTTCGCCCATCTTGTTTCTTGATGCTTCTCTCCTTCGCGCATCCTCTATGCCTGGCTTTGCTTCCCTTGCTGTCACGTACTCGCTTCAATGAGCCTCTCCTTTCCTTCGCTCCCAAACCACTGCTGCAGTCGCCCTCCATTCCCCCCACTCCCTCCACCCCTCGCGCTCCTCCCTTTCATCCCGCCACTCCTCTTTGCCTGTGCAGCCGTGGACGACGGGGTCGCTGCGCTTCAACTTCATTCTGGGCGGCAGCAGCCGCAGCCCCTGGCAGGAATTCGTGGCGCAGCGCAAGGTGGGGGGATGAGAATCGGGGTTCAGGCACAGAGGAAGGTGGGATGGGGGCAGTGGGAGTATTTTGGGGTAGAGTAGAGGAAGGTGAGGTGGGGAAAATGTCGGTACTTGTGGCACTGAGGATGGCACTGGGTGGGGTGGCATGAGAGTCAACGGACCATACACTTCCCCTCCCTCCCCTCTCCTGCTCTCCCCTCTCCGCGCCTCCCTCCTGTCTCCCTCTCCCCTCTCCCCCCCTCCCTCCTTTCGCCCCTGCAGATCCACGGGGTGATAGGGGTGTGCCACTGCCCACGCATGCCAGACACAGCAGCGGCGTACGAGGAGTTTGTGCTGGCGTGCAAGGCGTACCCCCTCGCTCTCCCCCCATCCTCTTGTCCCCCCCACACGTATGTGCCGCCCCTGCAGATCCACTGGGTGATAGGGGTGTGTCACTGCCCACGCATGCCCGACACAGCAGCGGCGTACGAGGAGTTTGTGCTGGCGTGCAAGGCGTACCCCCTCCCTCTCCCCCCATCCTCTTGTTCCCCCCATACGTATGTGACGCCCCTGCAGATCCACGGGGTGATAGGTGTGTGCCACTGCCCACGCATGCCAGACACAGCAGCGGCGTACGAGGAGTTTGTGCTGGCGTGCAAGGCGTACCCCCTCGCTCAGGTCAAGCGCTGCATTGCCTTCGACCCCAACACAGAGCAGGTGCGCGTGAGAACCCTCACAAGTGATTCCAAATGTGCATCGTATCCCGCTCACCCATCATATCCATCCCCCTCCTCCTTTCCCTTACCCCTCATATCCATCTCCTCCCGTCCCCCCTCCCTCCCTCCCAGCTGGCAGAGGAGGACCCGCAGCGGCGCAACCTGGTGATTCTGTCGGGGGCGGATCAGCAGCGGCTGGAGGCGCTGCTGGTGTCGGTGATGCACGACTTTGCTGCGTGTGTGCTCATGGCACTCGAGAGCTGGGTGCTGCACGTGGACCCCATCGCGGCTATCTTCCTCTCTCCCCTTGACAACCCTAATGTCACACCTAACGAGGACGTGAGTGCGCCCCGTTTGAGGAGTGAGTATCCCGGTATCCCGGTATCCCGGTATCCCGGTAACCCGGTAACCCGGTTTCCCGGTTTCCCGGTTTCCCGGCATCCCGGCATCCCGGCATCCCGGCTTCCCGGCATCCCGGCATCCCGGCTTCCCGGCTTCCCGGCTTCCCGGCTTCCCGGCATCCCGGCATCCCGGCTTCCCCGGTTCCCGGTTCCCGGTTTCCCGGTTTCCCGGTTTCCCGGTTTCCCGGTTTCCCGGTTTCCCGGTTTCCCGGTTCTCGGTTACCCGGTTACCCGGTTACCCGGTTACCCGGTTTCCCGGCTTCCCGGCTTCCCGGCTTCCCGGCTACCCGGCTACCCGGCTTCCCGGCTTCCCGGCTTCCCGGCTTCCCGGCTTCCCCGTTTCCCGGTTTCCCGGTTTCCCGGTTACCCGGTTACCCGGTTACCCGGTTACCCGGTTACCCGGTTACCCGGTTTCCCGGTTTCCCGGTTTCCCGGTTTCCCGGTTTCCCGGTTTCCCGGTTTCCCGGTTTCCCGGTTTCCCGGTTTCCCGGTATCCCGGTATCCCGGTATCCCGGCTTCCCGGCTTCCCGGCTTCCCGGCTTCCCGGCTTCCCGGCTTCCCGGCATCCCGGCATCCCGGCATCCCGGCATCCCGGCATCCCGGCTTCCCCTTTCCCGGTTTCCCGGTTTCCCGGTTTCCCGGTTACCCGGTTACCCGGTTACCCGGTTACCCGGTTACCCGGTTACCCGGTTTCCCGGTTTCCCGGTTTCCCGGTTTCCCGGTTTCCCGGTTTCCCGGTTTCCCGGTTTCCCGGTTTCCCGGTTTCCCGGTTTCCCGGTTTCCCGGTTTCCCGGTTCCCCGGTTCCCCGGTTCCCCGGTTCCCCGGTTCCCCGGTTCCCGGTTCCCGGTTCCCCGGTTCCCCGGTTCCCCGGTTCCCCGGCTTCCCGGCTTCCCGGCTTCCCGGCTTCCCGGCTTCCCGGCTTTCCCGGTTTCCCGGTTTCCCGGTTTCCCGGTTTCCCGGTTTCCCGGTTTCCCGGTTTCCCGGTTTCCCGGTTTCCCGGTATCCCGGTTTCCCGGTTTCCCGGTTTCCCGGTTTCCCGGTTTCCCGGTTTCCCGGTTTCCCGGTTTCCCGGTTTCCCGGCGGTTTCCCGGTATCCCGGTATCCCGGTTTCCCGGTTTCCCGGTTTCCCGGTTACCCGGTTACCCGGTTACCCGGCTACCCGGCTTCCCGGCTTCCCGGCTTCCCGGCTTCCCGGCTTCCCCGGTTTCCCGGTTTCCCGGTTTCCCGGTTTCCCGGTTTCCCGGTTTCCCGGTTACCCGGTTACCCGGTTACCCGGTTACCCGGTTACCCGGTTACCCGGTTACCCGGTTACCCGGTTACCCGGTTTCCCGGTTTCCCGGTTTCCCGGTTTCCCGGTTTCCCGGTTTCCCGGTTTCCCGGTTACCCGGTTACCCGGTTTCCCGGTTTCCCGGTTTCCCGGTTTCCCGGTTTCCCGGTTTCCCGGTTTCCCGGTTTCCCGGTTTCCCGGTTTCCCGGTTTCCCGGTTTCCCGGTTTCCCGGTATCCCGGTTTCCCGGTTTCCCGGTTTCCCGGTTTCCCGGTTTCCCGGTTTCCCGGTTTCCCGGTTTCCCGGTTTCCCGGTTTCCCGGTTTCCCGATTTCCCGGTATCCCGGTATCCCGGTTTCGCGGTTTCGCGGTTTCCCGATTTCCCGATTTCCCGGTTTCCCGGCGGTTTCCCGGTATCCCGGTATCCCGGTATCCCGGTTTCCCGGTTTCCAGGTTTCCAGGTTTCCCGGTTTCCCGGTTTCCCGGTTTCCCGGTTTCCCGGTTTCCCGGTTTCCCGGTTTCCCGGTTTCCCGGTTTCCCGGTTTCCCGGTTTCCCGGTTTCCCGGTTTCCCGATTTCCTTACCGGTTTCCTTCCCGGTGTCCTTCCCGGTGTCCTTCCCGGTTTCCTTCCCGGTTTCTTTGTTTCCCTGTTTCCCGGTTTCCCGTTTTCCATTTTCCTTCCCGGTTTCCCGGTTTCCTTCCCGGTTTCCTCATGAGTTCCCCATGAGCACGAGCCCCTGCTGCTCTCGATTACACTCTCCCTGCTGCCCCCCCTACTGCTCCCCCTGCCCTCTCCTCCCCCTTGCTCCCACCCCGTCCCCTCTTCCTCAGGCGGCACGGCTGAAGAAGAAGCGGCTGGCGCGCATTCAGAAGGCCATCGGCGACTACTGCCTGCTGGCGGCTCACCCCTTCCCTGCTGCTCCCCCACTTCCCCCCCCACCCCCTTCTCCTCACACTACCAGGCTGCTCGGCTGAAGAAGAAGCGGCTGGCGCGCATACAGAAGGCCATCGGTCACTACTGCCTGCTGGCGGGGTCGCCTCTTGATGCGCGCAGCCACTACAAGAGACCCATTGTGCGCGGCTGCTCTCCCTGCTGCTCCCACTTACGCTCTCCCCCCGCTCCCCCCTCTCTTTCCCAGGCTGCTCGGCTGAAGAAGAAGCGGCTGTCCCTGCTGCCCTCGCTGACACTCTCCCTGCTCCCCCCTCCCTTTCCCAGGCGGCGCGGCTGAAGAAGAAGCGGCTGGTGCGCATACAGAAGGCCATCGGCGACTACTGCCTGCTGGCGGCTCACCCCTTCCCTGCTGCTCCCCCACTTCCCCCCCCACCCCCTTCTCCTCACACCCCCAGGCGGCGCGGCTGAAGAAGAAGCGGTTGGCGCGCATACAGAAGGCCATCGGCGATTACTGCCTGCTGGCGGGGTCGCCTCTTAATGCTCCCAGCCCCCCCTTTCTCACCAGCTACTTCCCCCGCTGCCCCCCCTCCGCTTCTCCCCCTGCTCCCCCCCCTTCCGCCATCCCCAGGCGGCGCGGCTGAAGAAGAAGCGGTTGGCGCGCATACAGAAGGCCATCGGGGACTACTGCCTGCTGGCTGGGTCGCCTCTTGATGCGCGCAGCCACTACGGCACGGCCATCGAGCTTGGGCGCCTCACTAACAGCACCGACCCCCTCTGGCTTGCAGGGGCTTTGGAGGGCCACGTGAGCACTCTCGCGGTGCGTTGGGGCTGGGGTTAGTTGGGGGGGATGGAGGAGGAAGAGGGGGGTGGGATGGGGTGGGATAAGCACTCTAGGCCTCTTGATGCGCGCAGCCACTACGGCACGGCCATCGAGCTTGGGCGCCTCACTAACAGCACCGACCCCCTCTGGCTTGCAGGGGCTTTGGAGGGCCATGTCAGCACCCTCGCGGTGAGTGAGGGTTGGGGTTATGAGGTGGGTAGGTAGGGGGAAGGGGGTTGGGATGGGGACTAGTCCTCTTGATGCGTGCAGCCACTACGGCACGGCCATTGAGCTCGGGCGCCTCACCAACAGCACCTACCCCCCCTGGCTCGCCGGGGCGCTGGAGGGTCATGTGAGCACTCTCGCGGTGCGTTGGGAAAGGGGGAGAGGAAGGGGGGTGGGAAGTAACAAAAAAGAAGAAGAAAACAAAAACTTCTGGAAGGCCACATTTGTTAGCACTATGGCGTGGAGAAAGCAGGGGAATGGGAGGGAGGAGGAGAGGAGCGGAGGGAGGGAAGAAAAGAACTTCTTCGACGCTGGTTGGTGCGTGCTTTAGCCGTGATAGAAGCTAACGACGCTGTGTGCTGTGCTGTGTGGTGCGTGTGGTGGTGTGTGGTGGTGTGTGGCGCGGTCACGGCAAGGTGTGTGTGGGCAGGTGGAGAAGGGGCGGTGGGACGAGGAGTTGGAGGAGGAAATTCGCACCAAGTACAGCGAGATCGTGCCACTCTACCGCAAGTGAGCTCTCTTCTTCTTCTCTCTTTTTTCTTCTGCAGGATGAGAGTTGCATTTAGTACAGCAAAATTGTGCTTCTCTCCTGCAAGTGAGTGTACGGAGAGGCACTAAGGACCAGGTGAGTGCATTGAGAGGCACCGTGCAAATGCTGCACGAGTTGACACATCAAATGAGAAGAGTTCAGAGGCTTTGTTTCACGCCTCCTCTCCTATGCGTTCCTTTTCAGGGCGGGTGCAATGATCTTTGAGCTCGAAGCTCTCATCAAGGTCGCCAGATTCATCTGCCGGTCAGTACAACTCTGACACTAACAGTCTTACCTATCGCTTGTACTTGCACTGCCATCCTCGTCGCTTTGCTAGTACAATGTCTGGCAGAGGAGGAACCACAGTGCAATTCCCCCCTCCCTATCCCCCTCCTCTCTTTTGTCTCCTTTCTCCCTCTCCCTCAACGGACCCCTTCTCTTGTCACCTCTCCTCTCTTCCCCCTTATGTGTGCGTATGGCAGCAAGGAGATGGCGCGCGATGTGGTGGATCTGCTGGCACAGGCGGTGGAGACGGGGCGAGGGCTGCAGAACCCCAGTGATCTCCTCGTGCTCTACATTGAGGTACGGCATCGCACTTTTAACCCCAGTGATCTCCTCGTGCTCTACATTGAGGTACGGCATCGCACTTTTAACCCCAGTGATCTCCTCGGGCTCTACATTGAGGTACGGCGTCGCACTTTTAACCCCAGTGATCTCCTCGTGCTCTACATCGAGGTACGGCTCGTGATCTCCACCCACCCACCCATTAACCCTCCAAACCTCAGCACTCACCCACATACCCATCCTCCCACTCATCTACCCACCAACACGCACATGCATGTGTACAAGCTGACCTTCTCCTCCGTATGTCAGAAACGTGTTTTGCTCTCCCCATTGCCCCCCTCTCCCATGCAGGTGGCGCGCATATTCCAGCAGCTGGGCTACGAGCGTAAGGCTGCAAGTGACGCATTTTCCCCTTCATAAGCATCCCTTCCCCCTTTCCCCACACCCTTCCCCTCTAACACTGTTTCTTGCAGGTGGCGCGCATATTCCAGCAGCTGGGCTACGAGCGCAAGGCGGCATTCTTCACGCGGCAGGTGGCCAAGCTGTACGAGCAGCAGGAGTCACGCTTCGCCGCTGTCAGCGCCCTGCAGGTCAGTGCAACCAGGTGGTTGACTCAGAAGGTGCAACCAGTGCAACCAGGTGACTTTTGAGTCGACTCAGAAGGCAGCAGGAGTCACGCTTCGCCGCTGTCAGCGCCCTGCAGGTCAGTGCAGCCCCTTTCCCCCGCCCTGTGACCATCATGTCAAGATGCAGTACCTGACGTTTGTTGCACGTCACTGCCCGCCCTGTGCCATCACAGTGCATTACAGCTACGTGCTATGCCCACTTCAATTCGCTCTCTTCATCCGACCCCGTGTGGCCGCTGTGGCTACAAGCTGCAGGTCGCGCGCTCGGGCCAGGTCGCGCGCTCGGGCCAGGTCGCGCGCTCGGGCCAGGTCGCGAGCTCGGGCCAGGTCGCGAGCGTGGACCAAGTCGCGCGCCTGCTGCATTGCTCGCGCCTCTGCTGCGTTGCTCACGCGCTCAACTGTGTTGCTCGCGCCTTCTGCTGCGTTGCTCGTGCGCTCAGCTGCGTTGCTCGAGCGCTCTGTGCTGCGATGCTCGCACCCTCTGCTGCGTTGCTCGCACCCTCTTGCGTTGCTCGCGCGCTCTGCTGCGTTGTTCGCGTGGACCACGTTGCGCGCGCGGACCAAGTCGCGCACGCCGCGCGTGGACCAAGGCGTGCGCGTGGACCACGTTGCGCGCGTGGACCAAGGCGCGCGCGTGGACCAAGGCGCGCGCGTGGACCAAGGCGCGCGCGTGGACCAAGGCGCGCGCGTGGACCAAGGCGCGCGCGTGGACCAAGGCGCGCGCGTGGACCAAGGCGCGCGCGTGGACCAAGGCGCGCGCGTGGACCAAGGCGCGCGCGTGGACACAGGCGCGCGCGTCGACCAAGGCGCGCGCGAGGACCAAGGCGCGCGCGAGGACCAAGGCGCGCGCGTGGACCAAGGCGCGCGCGTGGACCAAAGCGCGCGCGTGGACCATGGCGCGCGCGTGGACCAAGGCGCGCGCGTGGACCAAGGCGCGCGCGTGGACCATGGCGCGCGCGTGGACCATGGCGCGCGCGTGGACCATGGCGCGCGCGTGGACCATGGCGCGCGCGTGGACCAAGGCGAGCGCGTGGACCAAGGCGCGCGCGTGGACCAAGGCGCGCGCGTGGACCATGGCGCGCGCGTGGACCAAGGCGCGCGCGTGGACCAAGGCGCGCGCGTGGACCATGGCGCGCGCGTGGACCATGGCGCGCGCGTGGACCATGGCGCGCGCGTGGACCATGGCGCGCGCGTGGACCAAGGCGCGCGCGTGGACCAAGGCGCGCGCGTGGACCAAGGCGCGCGCGTGGACCAAGGCGCGCGCGTGGACCAAGGCGCGCGCGTGGACCATGGCGCGCGCGTGGACCAAGGCGCGCGCGTGGACCAAGGCGCGCGCGTGGACCATGGCGCGCGCGTGGACCAAGGCGCGCGCGTGGACCAAGGCGCGCGCGTGGACCAAGGCGCGCGCGTCGACCAAGGCGCGCGCGTGGACCAAGGCGCGCGCGTGGACCAAGGCGCGCGCGTGGACCAAGGCGCGCGCGTGGACCAAGGCGCGCGCGTGGACCAAGGCGCGCGCGTGGACCAAGGCGCGCGCGTGGACCAAGGCGCGCGCGTGGACCAAGGCGCGCGCGTGGACCATGGCGCGCGCGTGGACCAAGGCGCGCGCGTGGACCAAGGCGCGCGCGTGGACCATGGGCGCGCGCGTGGACCATGGCGCGCGCGTGGACCATGGCGCGCGCGTGGACCATGGCGTGCGCGTGGACCATGGCGCGCGCGTGGACCATGGCGCGCGCGTGGACCAAGGCGCGCGCGTGGACCAAGGCGCGCGCGTGGACCAAGGCGCGCGCGTGGACCAAGGCGCGCGCGTGGACCAAGGCGCGCGCGTGGACCAAGGCGCGCGCGTGGACCAAGGCGCGCGCGTGGACCGAGGCGCGCGCGTGGACCGAGGCGCGCGCGTGGACCGAGGCGCGCGCGTGGACCGAGGCGCGCGCGTGGACCGAGGCGCGCGCGTGGACCGAGGCGCGCGCGTGGACCGAGGCGCGCGCGTGGACCGAGGCGCGCGCGTGGACCAGAGGCGCGCGCGTGGACCAAGGCGCGCGCGTGGACCAAGGCGCGCGCGTGGACCAAGGCGCGCGCGTGGACCAAGGCGCGCGCGTGGACCAAGGCGCGCGCGTGGACCAAGGCGCGCGCGTGGACCAAGGCGCGCGCGTGGACCAAGGCGCGCGCGTGGACCAAGGCGCGCGCGTGGACCAAGGCGCGCGCGTGGACCATGGCGCGCGCGTGGACCAAGGCGCGCGCGTGGACCATGGCGCGCGCGTGGACCAAGGCGCGCGCGTGGACCATGGCGCGCGCGTGGACCATGGCGCGCGCGTGGACCATGGCGCGCGCGTGGACCATGGCGCGCGCGGTGGACCAAGGCGCGCGCGTGGACCAAGGCGCGCGCGTGGACCGAGGCGCGCGGCGTGGACCGAGGCGCGCGCGGTGGACCGAGGCGCGCAGCGTGGACCGAGGCGCGCGCGTGGACCGAGGCGCGCGCGTGGACCGAGGCGCGCGCGTGGACCGAGGCGCGCGCGTGGACCGAGGCGCGCGCGTGGACCGAGGCGCGCGCGTGGACCGAGGCGCGCGCGTGGACCGAGGCGCGCGCGTGGACCGAGGCGCGCGCGTGGACCGAGGCGCGCGCGTGGACCGAGGCGCGCGCGTGGACCGAGGCGCGCGCAGTGGACCGAGGCGCGCGCGTGGACCGAGGCGCGCGCGTGGACCGAGGCGCGCGCGTGGACCGAGGCGCGCGCGTGGACCGAGGCGCGCGCGTGGACCGAGGCGCGCGCGTGGACCGAGGCGCGCGCGTGGACCGAGGCGCGCGCGTGGACCGAGGCCGCGCGTGGACCGAGGCGCGCGCGTGGACCGAGGCGCGCGCGTGGACCAAGGCGCGCGCGTGGACCAAGGCGCGCGCGTGGACCAAGGCGCGCGCGTGGACCAAGGCGCGCGCGTGGACCAAGGCCGCGCGCGTGGACCATGGCGCGCGCGTGGACCAGGCGCGCGCGTGGACCAAGGCGCGCGCGTGGACCAGGCGCGCGCGTGGACCATGGCGCGCGCGTGGACCAAGGCGCGCGCGTGGACCAAGGGCGCGCAGGCGTGGACCATGGCGCGCGCGTGGACCAAGGCGCGCGCGTGGACCAAGGCGCGCGCGTGGACCAAGGCGCGCGCGTGGACCAAGGCGCGCCCGTGGACCAAGGCGCGCGCGTGGACCAAGGCGCTGCGCAGTGGACCAAGGCGCGCGCGTGGACCAAGGCGCGCGCGTGGACCAAGGCGCGCGCGTGGACCAAGGCCACGCGCGTGGACCAAGGGCGCGCGCGTGGACCAAGGCGCGCGCGTGGACCAAGGCGCCGCGTGGACCAAGGCGCGCGCCGTGGACCATGGCGCGCGCGTGGACCAAGGCGCGCGCGTGGGACCAAGGCGCGCGCGTGGACCAAGGCGCGCGCGTGGACCAAGGCGCGCGCGTGGACCAAGGCGCGCGCGTGGACCACGTTGCGCAGCGTGGACCAAGGCGCACGCGTGGACCAAGGCGCGCGCGTGGACCAAGGCGCGCGCGTGGACCAAGGCGCGCGCGTGGACCATGGCGCGCGCGTGGACCATGGCGCGCGCGTGGACCAAGGCGCGCGCGTGGACCAAAGGCGCGCGCGTGGACCAAGGCGCGCGCGTGGACCAAGGCGCGCGCGTGGACCAAGGCGCGCGCGTGGACCAAGGCGCGCGCGTGGACCAAGGCGCGCGCGTGGACCAAGGCGCGCGCGTGGACCATGGCGCGCGCGTGGACCAAGGCGCGCGCGTGGACCAAGGCGCGCGCGTGGACCAGGCGCGCGCGTGGACCAAGGCGCGCGCGTGGACCAAGGCGCGCGCAGTGGACCAAGGCGCGCGCGTGGACCAAGGCGCGCGCGTGGACCATGGCGCGCGCGTGGACCAAGGCGCGCGCGTGGACCAAGGCGCGCGCGTGGACCAAGGCGCGCGCGTGGACCAAGGCGCGCGCGTGGACCAAGGCGCGCGCGTGGACCAAGGCGCGCGCGTGGACCAAGGCGCGCGCGTGGACCAAGGCGCGCGCGTTGGACCAAGGCGCGCGCTGTGGACCAAGGCGCGCGCGTGGACCATAGGCGCGCGCGGTGGACCATGGCGCGCGCAGTGGACCAAGGCGCGCGCGTGGACCATGGCGCGCGCGTGGACCATGGCGCGCGCGTGGACCATGGCGCGCGCAGTGGACCATGGCTCGCGCGTGGACCAAGGCGCGCAGCTGTGGACCAAGGCGCGCGCGTGGGACCAAGGCGCGCCGCGTGGACCAAGGCGCGCGCGTGGACCAGGCGCGCGCGTGGACCAAGGCATGCGCGCGTGGACCAAGGCGCGCGCGTGGACCAAGGCGCGCGCGTGGACCAAGGATGCGCGCGGGCGGTGGACCCACGGCGCGCGCGTGGACCAAGGCGCGCGCGTGGACCATGGCGCGCGCGTGGACCAAGGCGCGCGCGTGGACCAAGGCGCGCGCGTGGACCAAGGCGCGCGCGTGGACCAATGCGCGTGCGTGGACCAAGGCGCGCGCGTGGACCAAGGCGCGCGCGTGGACCATGGCGCGCGCGCGTGGACCATGGCGCGCGCGTGGACCAAGGCGCGCGCGTGGACCATGGCGCGCGCGTGGACCAAGGCGCGCGCGTGGACCATGGCGCGCGCGTGGACCAAGGCGCGCGCGTGGACCATGGCGCGCGCGTGGACCAAGGCGCGCGCGTGGACCAAGGCGCGCGCGTGGACCACGGCGCGCGCGTGGACCAAGGCGCGCGCGTGGACCAAGGCGCGCGCGTGGACCAAGGCGCGCGCGTGGACCATGGCGCGCGCGTGGACCATGGCGCGCGCGTGGACCATGGCGCGCGCATGTGGACCAAGGCGCGCGCGTGGACCAAGGCGCGCGCGTGGACCATGGCGCGCGCGTGGACCAAGGCGCGCGCGTGGACCAAGGCGCGCGCGTGGACCATGGCGCGCGCGTGGACCAAGGCGCGCGCGTGGACCAAGGCGCGCGCGTGGACCAAGGCGCGCGCGTGGACCAAGGCGCGCGCGTGGACCAAGGCGCGCGCGTGGACCAAGGCGCGCGCGTGGACCAAGGCGCGCGCGTGGACCAAGGCGCGCGCGTGGACCAAGGCGCGCGCGTGGACCAAGGCGCGCGCGTGGACCATGGCGCGCGCGTGGACCATGGCGCGCGCGTGGACCAAGGCGCGCGCGGTGGACCAAGGCGCGCGCGTGGACCATGGCGCGCGCGTGGACCAAGGCGCGCGCGTGGACCAAGGCGCGCGCGTGGACCATGGCGCGCGCGTGGACCAAGGCGCGCGCGTGGACCAAGGCGCGCGCGTGGACCAAGGCGCGCGCGTGGACCAAGGCGCGCGCGTGGACCAAGGCGCGCGCGTGGACCAAGGCGCGCGCGTGGACCAAGGCGCGCGCGTGGACCAAGGCGCGCGCGTGGACCAAGGCGCGCGCGTGGACCAAGGCACGCGCGTGGACCAAGGCGCGCGCGTGGACCAAGGCGCGCGCGTGGACCAAGGCGCGCGCGTGGACCATGGCGCGCGCGTGGACCAAGGCGCGCGCGTGGACCAAGGCGCGCGCGTGGACCAAGGCGCGCGCGTGGACCAAGGCGCGCGCGTGGACCAAGGCGCGCGCGTGGACCACGTTGCGCGCGTGGACCAAGGCGCACGCGTGGACCAAGGCGCGCGCGTGGACCAAGGCGCGCGCGTGGACCAATGGCGCGCGCGTGGACCATGGCGCGCGCGTGGACCATGGCGCGCGCGTGGACCAAGGCGCGCGCGTGGACCAAGGCGCGCGCGTGGACCAAGGCGCGCGCGTGGACCAAGGCGCGCGCGTGGACCAAGGCGCGCGCGTGGACCAAGGCGCGCGCGTGGACCAATGGCGCGCGCGTGGACCAAGGCGCGCGCGTGGACCAAGGCGCGCGCGTGGACCAAGGCGCGCGCGTGGACCAAGGCGCGCGCGTGGACCAAGGCGCGCGCGTGGACCATGGCGCGCGCGTGGACCAAGGCGCGCGCGTGGACCAAGGCGCGCGCGTGGACCAAGGCGCGCGCGTGGACCAAGGCGCGCGCGTGGACCATGGCGCGCGCCGTGGACCAAGGCGCGCGCGTGGACCAAGGCGCGCGCGTGGACCAAGGCGCGCGCGTGGACCAAGGCGCGCGCGTGGACCAAGGCGCGCGCGTGGACCATGGCGCGCGCGTGGACCAAGGCGCGCGCGTGGACCAAGGCGCGCGCGTAGACCATGGCGCGCGCGTGGACCATGGCGCGCGCGTGGACCATGGCGCGCGCGTGGACCAAGGCTCGCGCGTGGACCAAGGCGCGCGCGTGGACCATGGCGCGCGCGTGGACCAAGGCGCGCGCGTGGACCAAGGCGCGCGCGTGGACCAAGGCGCGCGCGTGGACCATGGCGCGCGCGTGGACCAAGGCGCGCGCGTGGACCAAGGCGCGCGCGTGGACCAAGGCGCGCGCGTGGACCAAGGCGCGCGCGTGGACCATGGCGCGCGCGTGGACCAAGGCGCGCGCGTGGACCAAGGCGCGCGCGTGGACCAAGGCGCGCGCGTGGACCAATGCGCGTGCGTGGACCAAGGCGCGCGCGTGGACCAAGGCGCGCGCGTGGACCATGGCGCGCGCGTGGACCATGGCGCGCGCGTGGACCAAGGCGCGCGCGTGGACCATGGCGCGCGCGTGGACCAAGGCGCGCGCGTGGACCATGGCGCGCGCGTGGACCAAGGCGCGCGCGTGGACCATGGCGCGCGCGTGGACCAAGGCGCGCGCGTGGACCAAGGCGCGCGCGTGGACCACGGCGCGCGCGTGGACCAAGGCGCGCGCGTGGACCACGGCGCGCGCGTGGACCAAGGCGCGCGCGTGGACCAAGGCGCGCGCGTGGACCAAGGCGCGCGCGTGGACCAAGGCGCGCGCGTGGACCATGGCGCGCAGCGTGGACCAAGGCGCGCGCGTGGACCAAGGCGCGCGCGTGGACCAAGGCGCGCGCGTGGACCATGGCGCGCGCGTGGACCAAGGCGCGCGCGTGGACCATGGCGCGCGCGTGGACCAAGGCGCGCGCGTGGACCAAGCCGCGCGCGTGGACCAAGGCGCGCGCGTGGACCAAGGCGCGCGCGTGGAACAAGGCGCGCGCGTGGACCAAGGCGCGCGCGTGGACCAAGGCGCGCGCGTGGACCAAGGCGCGCGCGTGGACCAAGGCGCGCGCGTGGACCAAGGCGCGCGCGTGGACCAAGGCGCGCGCGTGGACCAAGGCGCGCGCGTGGACCACGTTGCGCGCGTGGACCAAGGCGCGCGCGTGGACCAAGCCGCGCGCGTGGACCAAGGCGCGCGCGTGGACCAAGGCGCGCGCGTGGACCAAGGCGCGCGCGTGGACCAAGGCGCGCGCGTGGACCATGGCGCGCGCGTGGACCAAGGCGCGCGCGTGGACCAAGGCGCGCGCGTGGACCAAGGCGCGCGCGTGGACCAAGGCGCGCGCGTGGACCAAGGCGCGCGCGTGGACCATGGCGCGCGCGTGGACCAAGGCGCGCGCGTGGACCAAGGCGCGCGCAGTGGACCAAGGCGCGCGGTGGACCAAGGCGCGCGCGTGGACCAAGGCGCGCGCGTGGACCAAGGCGCGCGCGTGGACCAAGGCGCGCGCGTGGACCATGGCGTGCGCGTGGACCAAGGCGCGCGCGTGGACCAAGGCGAGCGCGTGGACCAAGGCGCGCGCGTGGACCAAGGCGCGCTGCGTGGACCAAGGCGCGCGCGTGGACCAAGGCGCGCGCGTGGACCAAGGCGCGCGCGTGGACCAAGGCGCGCGCGTGGACCATGGCGCGCGCGTGGACCAAGGCGAGCGCGTGGACCAAGGCGAGCGCGTGGACCAAGGCGCGCGCGTGGACCAAGGCGCGCGCGTGGACCAAGGCGCGCGCGTGGACCAACGCGCGCGCGTGGACCAAGGCGCGCGCGTGGACCAAGGCGCGCGCGTGGACCAAGGCGCGCGCGTGGACCAAGGCGCGCGCGTGGACCAAGGCGCGCGCGTGGACCAAGGCGCGCGCGTGGACCAAGGCGCGCGCGTGGACCAAGGCGCGCGCGTGGACCAAGGCGCGCGCGTGGACCATGGCGCGCGCGTGGACCAAGGCGCGCGCGTGGACCATGGCGCGCGCGTGGACCAAGGCGCGCGCGTGGACCAAGGCGCGCGCGTGGACCAAGGCGCGCGCGTGGACCAAGGCGCGCGCGTGGACCATGGCGCGCGCGTGGACCAAGGCGCGCGCGTGGACCAAGGCGCGCGCGTGGACCAAGGCGCGCGCGTGGACCAAGGCGCGCGCGTGGACCATGGCGCGCGCGTGGACCAAGGCGCGCGCGTGGACCACGTTGCGCGCGTGGACCAAGGCGCGCGCGTGGACCAAGGCGCGCGCGTGGACCAAGGCGCGCGCGTGGACCATGGCGTGCGCGTGGACCAAGGCGCGCGCGTGGACCAAGGCGCGCGCGTGGACCAAGGCGCGCGCGTGTGTCAGAATATGTTGTTTGTGTAGCCTGCAGTTGGGTACTCAATAGTGAGTACAGCCCCTTAGGGTTTGCTATTTGTATCCTGCTGCTTGCTAGTTCAATCATTCCCCTTTCTCAATTCTGTTCCTACACACAACTCTCGCTCGTACTTGACGCCTCGTTCTAGTCTTCCTGTGGCCTAGGCTACTAAGCCTAGGCCGTACTCCTAGTATATTTGACATGGTATCAGAGGGCGGCATGTCTGCCGCCTTCCTGTGTATGGGCCCACCACCCGCTTCCGCTGCCGTACTGTCCGCCGCGCGCCCCGTGGTGCGCGGCGGCGAAACCCTAATTTCTGCCCGCCGCGCGTTCGGGGCGCCTGGCGGTTTTCCCTTCCGTGGCGCCCGTCGTGGTGCCCTTGGGGGGGCCTCCGCGGTCCCCTCCCGTCGAAACGCCCGTCGAGGCGCTCTCGGGGACCCGCGCGGCCTCCCCTCCCGTCGCCCGTCGAGGCGACCTCGGGGACCCGCGCGGCCTCCCCTCCCGTCGCCCGTCGTGGCGACCACGGGGGCTCGCGCGCGGTCCCCTCCCCTCGTCCGTCGTGGCGACCTCGGGGGCTCGCGCGGCCTCCCCTCTCGTCGTCCGTCGAGGCGACCACGGGGGCTCGCGCGGCCTCCCCTCCCGTCGTCCGTCGTGGCGACCAAGGGGGCCCGCGCGCGGTCCCCTCTCGTCGCCCGTCGTGGCAACTACGGGGGCCGCGCGGCCTCCCCTTCCCGTCGCCCGTCGTGGCGCTCAGGGGGGGCCCGCGCGGCGCCCTTCCCGTCGCCCGTCGCGGCGGCTCTGGGGGCCCGCGCGGCACCCTTCCCGTCGCCCGTCGCGGCGGCCCTGGGGGGCCGCGCGGCTCCCTTTCTCGGCGCCCTGGGGGCCGCGCTCTTCCCCCCCCCCCCCCTTCCTCCTACCTTCACCTGCAGCGGCCGCCCCTGGAGCCGCCCCTGGAGCAGCCCGCACCTGCAGCAGCCACCCCTGGAGCAGCCCGTGCCTGCAGCAGCCGCCCCTGGAGCAGCCCGCACCTGCAGCAGCCGCCCCTGGAGCAGCCCGCACCTGCAGCAGCCCGCGGCCCGTCCCTGCAGCCCCCCCCCCCCCCCCCCCCCCCCCCCCGTGCTGCCCATTGCTCCCATTCCGCCGTGCGTTCCGCGGTGGTTGGGGTGTGGGGTGACCGGTGTGGGTAACCTGAAGCACCTCCTCCTCCTCCGTCTCCCACTGCTGCAGCTGCCGCTGAGGGGGGTGGGTGTGTGGGAGCCGAGGGTTTAGGGTTTATGGGGGGTGATGTGGGAGTGGAGCTAGGGGTGAAACTGGGGGTGTGTGTAGGGGGGTGTGGGACAGCTGGGGGAGGTTGAGTGGAGGCAGCCGTCGTGTCGTCCGCAGCGCCTGTATTCCGGGGCCCTTGTCGCCGGTAGCTCAGAGAGCCTGCTGCACCTGTTGCCCGTGGGTCCGTTGCTCCTGCCGCTCGTCGTAGCCGCAGAGCCTGTTACTCCTGTATTTCAGGGCCCTTGCTCGTGATAGCCACTGAGAGCCTGCTGCACCAGTCGCCCGTGGGTCTGTTGCTTCTGCCGCTCGTCGTAGCCGCAGAGCCAGTTACTCCAGTAGTCCGGGGCCCTTGCCTCGGTAGCCACTGTGTCAGCCGCCACTGTGTCAGCCGCTTCTGTTGCCCGTGTGTCTGCAGCTTCAGTCGTCGCCTCCCATCTTCTCTCCTCTCACAGTCCCTCCTCCTCCTCACTTGCCCTCTGTGATAGCCTCTAGCTTTGCTGATAATTGTGAACTTTTGCACTGCCTGCTCATTGTGCTGATTACACCCCACTTTGGCTATGGGGGTGTGTCAGAATATGTTGTTTGTGTAGCCTGCAGTGGGGTACTCAATAGTGAGTACAGCCCCTTAGGGTTTGCTATTTGTATCCTGCTGCTTGCTAGTTCAATCATTCCCCTTTCTCAATTCTGTTCCTGCACACAACTCTCGCTCGTACTTGACGCCTCGTTCTAGTCTTCCTGTGGCCTAGGCTACTAAGCCTAGGCCGTACTCCTAGTATATTTGACAGCGTGGACCAAGGCGCGCGCGTGGACCATGGCGCGCGCGTGGACCAAGGCGCGCGCGTGGACCAAGGCGCGCGCGTGGACCAAGGCGCGCGCGTGGACCATGGCGCGCGCGTGGACCAAGGCGCGCGCGTGGACCATGGCGCGCGCGTGGACCAAGGCGCGCGCGTGGACCAAGGCGCGCGCGTGGACCAAGGCGCGCGCGTGGACCAAGGCGCGCGCGTGGACCAAGGCGCGCGCGTGGACCAAGGCGCGCGCGTGGACCAAGGCGCGCGCGTGGACCAAGGCGCGCGCGTGGACCAAGGCGCGCGCGTGGACCAAGGCGCGCGCGTGGACCAAGGCGCGCGCGTGGACCAAGGCGCGCGCGTGGACCATGGCGCGCGCGTGGACCATGGCGCGCGCGTGGACCAAGGCTCGCGCGTGGACCAAGGCGCGCGCGTGGACCAAGGCGCGCGCGTGGACCAAGGCGCGCGCGTGGACCAAGGCGCGCGCGTGGACCATGGCGCGCGCGTGGACCAAGGCGCGCACGTGGACCAAGGCGCGCGCGTGGACCAAGGCGCGCGCGTGGACCAGGCGCGCGCGTGGACCAAGGCGCGCGCGTGGACCATGGCGCGCGCGTGGACCAAGGCGCGCGCGTGGACCAAGGCGCGCGCGTGGACCAAGGCGCGCGCGTAGACCATGGCGCGCGCGTGGACCATGGCGCGCGCGTGGACCATGGCGCGCGCGTGGACCAAGGCGCGCGCGTGGACCAAGGGCTCGCGCGTGGACCAAGGCGCGCGCGTGGACCAAGGCGCGCGCGTGGACCAAGGCGCGCGCGTGGACCAAGGCGCGCGCGTGGACCAAGGCGCGCGCGTGGACCAGGCGCGCGCGTGGACCAAGGCGCGCGCGTGGACCAAGGCGCGCGCGTGGACCAAGGCGCGCGCGTGGACCAAGGCGCGCGCGTGGACCAAGGCGCGCTCGTGGACCAAGGCGCGCGCGTGGACCAAGGCGCGCGCGTGGACCAAGGCGCGCGCGTGGACCAAGGCGCGCGCGTGGACCAAGGCGCGCGCGTGGACCAAGGCGCGCGCGTGGACCAAGGCGCGCGCGTGGACCATGGCGCGCGCGTGGACCAAGGCGCGCGCGTGGACCAAGGCGCGCGCGTGGACCAAGGCGCGCGCGTGGACCAAGGCGCGCGCGTGGACCAAGGCGCGCGCGTGGACCAAGGCGCGCGCGTGGACCAAGGCGCGCGCGTGGACCAAGGCGCGCGCGTGGACCAAGGCGCGCGCGTGGACCAAGGCGCGCGCGTGGACCAAGGCGCGCGCGTGGACCAAGGCGCGCGCGTGGACCAAGGCTCGCGCGTGGACCAAGGCGCGCGCGTGGACCAAGGCGCGCGCGTGGACCAAGGCGCGCGCGTGGACCAAGGCGCGCGCGTGGACCAAGGCGCGCGCGTGGACCAAGTCGCGCGCGTGGACCAAGGCGCTCGCGTGGACCAAGGCGCGCTCGTGGACCAAGGCGCGCGCGTGGACCAAGGCGCGCGCGTGGACCAAGGCGCGCGCGTGGACCAAGGCGCGCGCGTGGACCAAGGCGCGCGCGTGGACCAAGGCGCGCGCGTGGACCAAGGCGCTCGCGTGGACCAAGGCGCGCGCGTGGACCAAGGCGCGCGCGTGGACCAAGGCGCGCGCGTGGACCAAGGCGCGCGCGTGGACCAAGGCGCGCGCGTGGACCATGGCGCGCGCGTGGACCATGGCGCGCGCGTGGACCATGGCGCGCGCGTGGACCAAGGCGCGCGCGTGGACCAAGGCGCGCGCGTGGACCAAGGCGCGCGCGTGGACCATGGCGCGCGCGTGGACCATGGCGCGCGCGTGGACCATGGCGCGCGCGTGGACCATGGCGCGCGCGTGGACCAAGGCGCGCGCGTGGACCATGGCGCGCGCGTGGACCAAGGCGCGCGCGTGGACCAAGGCGCGCGCGTGGACCATGGCGCGCGCGTGGACCAAGGCGCGCGCGTGGACCAAGGCGCGCGAGTGGACCAAGGCGCGCGCGTGGACCAAGGCGCGCGCGTGGACCAAGGCGCGCGCGCGTGGACCAAGGCGCGCGCGTGGACCAAGGCGCGCGCGTGGACCATGGCACGCGCGTGGACCATGGCGCGCGCGTGGACCAAGGCGCGCGCGTGGTGGACCAAGGCGCGCGCGTGGACCAAGGCGCGCGCTCGGGCCAGGTCGCGTGTGGCTTCGTGTGGCCGCTGGGTCAACCCTTTGGCTACAATCTGCAGTCGCTTGGGTGACTATTGTTGAGACGAGTCAAGATAAAAAAATATCAGTCATTCCCTCTATACACCTCTCAACCCACAGGTGCTGGCCCTGGCGTCTACGTGCTACAAGGTGCAATCGCTTGGGTGACGATTGAGTGGACTCAAGATAAAAATAATCATCACCGCCTTGTTCCGTCTCGTTAACCCCACAGGTGCTGGCCCTGGCGTCTACATCGTACAAGGTGCAGTCGCTCGCACTCTCCCCCGTTCCCTCCCCCGCCCTCGCTGACACTCCCCGTGGCACAGCACCAGGATCAGCAGCAGCAGGCGGAGGCGGGGGAGGAGGAGTGGGAGCAGGAGGGGTGGGGGGAAAGGCAGGGGGGAAGGGCAGCAGGGCGGGGGTGACGGCATTAGAGAGCAGTGCGCCACCGTTGGGAGGGGGGCAGTGGAGCAGACTGCAGATGGAGCTGTTGAGTGACATGCTGGCCGTTGCTGTGCGCGCCGGTGAACCCCTCGCTGCCTGGGCTGCTGCTGCTCGCCTGCTAAGAGGATTCTACCCCCTCATTCTGCCACAGAGCCAGGTATGGCCATCTTGAGTCGGCTGCAGATGGACCTGCTCAGCCACATGCTGGCCGTTGGTGTGCCTGTTTTTTTAGAATTCTCAAAACAGGCACACCAACGGGTATGGTGATCGTGAGCCGCAGATGAGAATTCTCAAAAAACAGGTATGGCCATCTTGAGCAGACTGCAGATGGAGCTGCTCAGCCACATGCTGGCTGTTGCTGTGCGCGCCGGCGAGCCCCTTGCTGCCTGGGCTGCTGCGGCGCAGCTTCTGCGAGGCTTCTACCCTCTCATTCTGCCGCAGAGCCAGGTGGGTGGGGCTCGTCTTAATGAGCTGTTTTTTTTAGTTTTTTTCAAGTGAATCCGCCTGTTGCGAGGATTCTGCCTGTTCATTCTGCACAGCCAGGAAGGGCGCTCTTCATGTGTCTCTGATGCCCAAACTTTCATGTCTCCTCCTTTTCTAAGCAGTTGCTTCTTCCTCGCCTCGACCTCACCGTATCCTTTTGACCCACCTGCCACCTTCCTCACGTGCCTTCTTCCCTCCCACCAGGAATCGTTGGCTCAAGCGCTCACATCGGCCAGTGAGAGGCTGCCAGCTGGCACTCGCTGCCCTGACCTTGCGCTTCCCTTCGTCAGGTAATGCTGAGCAAGTTGGTCGTGGAAATAATTAATCCTTTGCTTTCTGAGGGAAGTTGGATTCTCAAGAGCTCCTCTTCGCCTTTACACTTTCGCTCTTCTCTCCTTTTAAAACCTGTCATTCTTTTCTCACATCCCACGACAACGTTTCTATGCACCCTGAAACACCCTCCTTGTGCCTCCACCCCTCCCTTCCACCAGGTTCCATGCGTTCGCAACAGCCCCCCAGCAGACCCAAGTCGTGAAGCGCACGCGAGGCAAGCGCGACTGGTGGGTGGGGGCGGGTGGGGGAGGCCCGTTCATCTACACGCCCTTCACCACGCGGGCGGCCAACGTGAAACCCGACATGGTGTGGATCGTGGGCGAGGTGGCTCAAGTCATCATCGAGCTCTCCAACCCCTGCGCCTGCGCTGTCGATATCGAATCCATCTATCTGAATGTCGACGGGGATTTTCAGCCGTTCCCCGCGTCGCTCTCTCTTCGGCCGAACACGTACTCTCATCTGCTCACGCTCTCGGGCTTGCCGCGGTCGCCGGGGGTGATTACCGTCCTGGGCTGTTTTCTGCAGTCGTTCGGGGTTCTTACGGACCATCGATTCGCCGACACGACGATCACGACCGTTGCTGCGGCGGCAGGGAGCGCGGGATCGGGAGCAGGGCTGCCGTTGATTCCGGGCGTGGGCCTGGTAGATCCGTTTTCGCCCGCTGCTGCTGCGTCTGTGGCTGCTAATTCCGCTGCAGCAGCTGCTACAGCCACCCCTCTCTCCGCCCCCACTATCTCTGCTACCTCCTCTCTCTCTGCAGCGGCAGCGGGTGTCGACACTGCGGTTAAGAGCGGTGCCAGCGCTGGGCGGGGATTCTTGGCCTCTTCTCCCATCCCGTCCACCTCTGTCCTGCCCGTGCTCGATATTTCTGTGCTGCCCGAGCTTCCACTATTGGTTGCAACGGCGGAGGATGGCGACGGGGCAGCTGCGGTTCTTTTCGACGGGGAGGTTCGAGAAATCTCGGTCAAGCTGGTAAATTCCAGTCGAGTGCCCGTAGTGGACGCATTTGTTTCCGTTGCTGGCAGGCAAAAGCGGCACCTGATCGTTCTCGGGCAGGAAAAACTTGCAGCAGCGCTGCCCCTGCTTCCGGGGGCTGCAGTCACCCTGCCCGTGAAAATCGTGGCCCAGTTCCAACCAGAGAGTTCGGAAGATGACGAGGATGATGTGGGAGGGGGGGAGGGCGGAGGGGGGGCAGAGCAGAGCACGAGCAGCAAGGAGGAAGATACAGTGAACCTGGTCGTGCATTACGCAGGCCCAGACAAAGACCCCGAGAGTGATCCCGTCACCCCAGCAGCACCAACCCCTGTCTCCAAATCCGCTACAGCCAGCAAGGAGAAGGAGAAGGAGAGGAAGGACGATGCAGTGCCGGGGCGGCGGCTGTCGTTCCCCATCAACCTGTGTGTGCGGCGGGGCCTGTCCCTCGTGCGCGCGCGCCTGCTTGTCACCGGAGGCGTCACTCCCGCCGTGCAATCCGACGGGGGGGTCGCCAGCACTGGTGCTGCCGGTGGCGGTGCTGCTGGTGGTGGTGCCAACCTTGCTGCGTCTGGCCGTGGTGGTGGGGCCGAGGCAGGCTTAACGTGGGGTTCCCAGGCGAAAGGAGCGGGAGCGGGGGGAGGAGGGGCGGGAGTGAGGAAGGGAGTCGGAGAGATGGAGGTGCCTGTGAGACAAGCCAAGGGGCTGCGGCTACTGGACCTTGAGGTGTGGAACGGCACTGACTCTGCCTTTGATGTCTCCGTGCTCGTTGACCCCCCCGCCCCCCACGACCAACCCAGCACCCCCGCTGCTGCTACTGCCCCTGCTGCTGCTGCACCTCCCACTGGCGCAGCTGCAGGAGGAGCAACAAACACATCCCCAGCAGCATCAGCAGCAGCGTCGGCATCAGCAGGGTCCCTGCTAGCGGCCAGTCTGCTCCCCCCGGCATCCAACCTGCAGGCCTCTCTAGAGGAAGCTTCCCTCCTCGCCTCGGGCGGCTCTGTCTCCCACTCCCGCATAGGACGAGACTGCGCCGCCCGCCTCCTCATCCCGCTCGGCGGATTCGATTCCCTCCTGGGCTCCGAAGCAGAGGCCGCCCTGGCAGTACTCCACCACGAGGAGCAGACGGGCGGCGACACCACCGTGCGGCGCCAGCTGGCACTGGGCCTCGGGCCTATCCCGTCGCCGTTCACAACCATCATCAATGCGATCTGCTCGCGGGTGAAGGTGCGGTGGCTGTCGGCACGGAATTGCCGCGGGGAGGTGAGGATCAGAGAGGCCGTAAGGGCCGTGGTGGAGAGCCAGGCCGTGGCGGTGCTGCTGCCTGATCCCCTCGCGTTCTCCTTCCGAGTCACTGCTCCTCCTCTCACTGCTGCTGCTGCTGTTGGGGTTGGAAGTGCTGGGAGAGGTGGCAATGAGCAGAGGGAAACGTCAGGGCTTGCGGCTGGTGATGCTTGTGCTGCGAGGGAAGGAGGGAGTGGGGGAGGGGGGGCTGGGAATGCAGACGGGGCAGCAGCCGGAGGGAGTGGAGGAGGCGGGGCGGGGTTCAGTGTGACGAGTGCGTTGGAGTTCACAACAGTAGAGCTGACAGTGACCAATCAGAGCAAGGGCAAGCTGGCTGTGAGCGTGAGCGTGACGTGTCGCGACGTCACTGGCGAGACGTGCGTGGGAGAGGCCACTCAGAAGCAGCACGTCATGTGGGCAGGTGGGTTGTACATACTGCGCTGCTGGTGCATTCCACTCCATTCAACTGCCCGTGCTCCATGCTCTCCTGCACACGACCATGCAGCTGCCTGTGTGCATTGCCCCGTGCTCTGCATCACGTCCCCATGCATTGTTCACGAATTATCCAACGCAGCTGCTTCCACACACACACTCCCCACCCACTCCTTCCCATCCTTCCCACCCACACACACCACACCCCACAGGCACACTAAACGGCATCGACGCAACACTAGACCCCGGGCAGTCGCTGCACCACAAGCTGAGTCTCTGTTTCCTCGTACCAGGAGAGTACACGCTCTTTGCAGCCGCGGTGGTGGACAACCAGGGCCCCTCGCCCACCTCCCTGCTCACTTACATCCCTCCCACCCATGCACACCACACCCCACAGGCACACTAAACGGCATCGACGGAACACTAGACCCCGGGCAGTCGCTGCACCACAAGCTGAGTCTCTGCTTCCTCGTACCAGGAGAGTACACGCTCTTTGCAGCCGCCGTGGTGGACAACCAGGGCCCCTCGCCCACCTCGCTGCTCACTTACATCCCTCCCACCCATGCACACCCCACAGGCACATTGAACGGCATCGACGCCACATTGGACCCCGGCCAGTCCCTGCACCACAAGCTGAGTCTCTGCTTCCTCGTACCGGGAGAGTACACGCTCTTCGCAGCCGCGGTGGTGGACAACCAGGGCCCCTCGCCCACCACCCTGCTCGCCTCACACGCACAGTTAGCAGGGCGAGTGGGGCACACGCAGAACCCCAACCCGTGGTGGGCCGTGCTGGATGCTAGCCGGCTCCCACAGACCATCTGCTGCACCAGCCTGCCCCATGCCATCACTGTGCTCGGCGCTGCTTAGGGGGGGCTTGTCGTCACACGCACAGTTAGCGGGGCGAGCGGGGCACACGCAGAACCCCAACTCCTGGTGGGCCGTGCTGGATGCCAGCAGGCGCCCACAGACCATCTGCTGCACCAGCCTGCCGCACGCCATCACTGTGCTCGGCGCTGCTTAGGGAGGGCTCGTCGTAATATGTAGTATGGTATGTGTTGATGTGAAGAAACAGTTTCTCGTACCGCATCTGATCCGGTTCGTGGACGGTGCACTTCATCCACCAACAACCCACCATTGTAATGAAGGTCTTGAAATACGGAACATGCGAAAATGCTTTCCGATACAGCTTTTTCCAGTGGATTGTCCAGATCATAAGATGGCATTCCAGCCCATATGCATGTGAAAGTGGGCATGCCTGCTTTGTGAGTTACCGTAGGGTACATTCCTGCGAAGACATGTCTTCGTTTTATGCGTCACAAAAGCAGGGTACCGCTGTGCACTGCATTACACCTAAGTATCAAGCGTTTCCACCGCACTGTTTCTCGTCTTTTGAGACACAAGGCATTTGTGATGCGCTTCAGGAATGTACTACCCGAGTCTGACAAAGACATACTGCACCACATATATTACCAGAAACAGCTATTAGCTACAGCTGTTGATACAGAGCAGTTCTCTGCAGTCACAGGCACACCTAAGCACCAGTGAGCCACAGTAGCAAATGCTCTATGCGGCAGTGGACGCAGCTGACTGACCGTAGTGCAGCTAAGACTGGTACACTCCCAGTGAACTAACATCACAGTTCCCCTTGTGAGGAACACGATACACCCAGCAAGCTCAAGATGGACGCGGCTCACACGCCCCTCACAGCCAGCTCAAGCTGACAGCATGCCTGGACACGGAGGGAACAGAGAGCAACAAGGGGTTGTGCTCTTAAACCGGCGCATCACGGACTAAAACATCGCAAGACACACGACAGCAGGGGCAACCCAAGCCACACGTGCATGGACACGCGTCGGAACGAAACCAACAGCAGGTCAGCAGCTGGAACATGAACTGCACACTAGCACTGGTCTCCATCGCACCTGTCGCACAGACTGCACATTCAACCCGCTGAGACAACACGCGCTTCAAGTGGCGGGGGCGCTCATGCGCGGCCCCATGAAGGTCATGAAGAGCTCGCGGAACAGCTGGCGGTTCTTCTCCTGCTCCTCCACAAACCGCTTCTGCCACTCCTCGTTGCTCTCCCTCACCACTCGTATCACCTCATCCAACTTCTGCTCCAACGCACTGCTACTTCCGCCACCAACACCACCACCAGCAGCCGTCACACCTGCCAGGCTCCCTCCATTCGTGCTGGCCTGCCCGCCGAATGCACTACCTGGGAAAGGCATCCCCCCTGGTATGTTCCCCGGGGTGGGAAAGCCGTCCTGCCCCATGCTGCCGTCCCCTGCCGGACTGACCAGCTGCCCCCAGAACCCTCCTTGCGGGACAGCCGCGCCCGCTGCTCCGCCGCCCCCGTTCCCCCCACCAGCTCCGCCGCCGCCGCCACTGCCGCCACCCGCGCCCAGATTCCCCGGAGGTCCTGCGCCCTGGGGGGAGAGCAGGGCAGCGGAAACGCCTCCCGGAGGCGCCATCCCGGGGGGAGCAGGCGGGCGGAAGCTGGAAGAGGTGGCGGAGAAGCTGTGGGGGAAGACGCCTGGCGCGAAGAAAGTGCCGGGGGGGAAGAAGCCGGGGGGCGGAGGCGGTAAGAAGCCTGGAGGGGATGTGAGGATGTGCGGGGGAGGCGGCATGGCGCCGTTAATTGCGCCGTTCATGGCGCCGGGATTGACGATGCCGACCAGCCCAGTCGCAGAGCTGTTCGCAGCGCCGTTCGCAGCCTCGCTTCGCATCGCGTTCTCACCGCCCGCCCCACTCGCACCGCCCGCGCCCGTCGCATTCGGCTGGCTGTTCACCGACGCGCTAGGCGGCAGCAGCATGGAATTGCTCCCGCCCGCCCCTTTTGTCGTTTTCCAGCCCGTACCGTCTGCGACGGACTGTCTGCGGACGAGCCCTTCGCCAGGCGCGTCGCTTCGCGAAGGGCTGTCGCGAGGGGAGGAGGGGGGGCTAGGGCTGTCCGGGAGAAGGCTTTCGGCGCAGGGAAAACAACCGAGCGACTCGCTCAAGTAACGGTCGATCCACTTGAACCACTTGGGCTTCAGCACCAGGTGCGCGTTTGCTCCTTCCCCGTTCTCCGCCGACGCGTCGCCCGGCTCGCGCTCCCTCACACGCTCCTTAATAACCCTATACTTCCGTTCCATGCGGTGTAGTTTCAACTTAATCGCCTCGAACGGCCGGTCGAACGACGGCTCCTTAGTCGACCTAATGTATTCTTTCAGGCGTCCGTAGAAGCTCCCTTGCTGCCCAGCTGGCCGCTTCTTATACTCGTCGTGGAGTTCGAACCGCGCGCGGGCTACTAAGACCTGCTCGCGCTCGCTCCACCGCTCGTAATCTTTTGTCGACGCTTCTTTCGCTGGGGCACCGCCATCCCCATTCGCGTCTGCTGCTGCACCTGCTGCTCCTCCTGAAAGGTCCCCATCTTTCAATCCCCCTTTCTTGCGTGACCCCTTCTTCTTCTTGACAGAATTTAATTCCGTATCTTGCTCCAGCGGGTCGTCAGCCGCCAAAGCTGCCTCAGAATCTCTCTTCCGTTTCGTTGACGGCGTTCTGTCAAGTTGCTGTAATTGCGATCCGTCCGGTCCGTCAGACGGGCTTTCCGGTGGGGGAGGATACGCCGGCTGAATCGGTCCAACCGTCTGCGAAAACGGTCTGAAAGACGACGGAAGCGTTTGCTGATCCGAACCTTCCGGACGTCCGCCGTCTCGCCATGCTTCTCTCGCCGCCTGCCTCTCCTCCTCCATCTTCTCCTCCATGTAGAGACTCAGCCATTTCCACCACAGCGGCTTCTGAACGGCAACGGCACCGGGCTGAGCTTCCTGCTCGAGAATATCCCGATACTTGCGCTCCAGGCGGTGGATTTTTACCTTTACCGCGTCGACGGGTCGATCCCAGGCAGGATCCCAGGATTTCACCTGAGCCCATACTTTCAGCCAGAAACTGGACCCCTGCTTCCCGACGAGCTCCTTATAGTCGCCTCTTAACTCATATCTCGCCTTAGCGATTAATTCCTCCTCGTCCTCGGACCAACGGTAACCTGGCGCGTCACGACTCGACCGTGTGCTAGAGGATTTCTCATATGCAGGAGGACCGGGATTGTTTTCTGAAACTGGAAGGATGTTCCCATGTCCACCAACTCTTCCGTCTGAACCCGACATGTCTGCAACCCGCGAGACGTTACTTGCTGTTGAGAAAGCAAGTGACTGAACGACGGACGGCTGGGGTGGGGTGCTGCTGTGAAACGAGGGGTTCGTTCGTTCTTCTACAGGCTATGGCGTGGCGAGATGAAGCGGAAAGGGATGTGCTGCTGACTGCTGCGATGAAACCCTAGAAAGCGTCTGCTTGCACAAGAACCCTGGGTGAGGAGGAGGTGGTGTGCCCGAGCGTGGAGCGAGCAGGCAAGGGCGTTGGAGGATGGAAAGGCTGATGTGGTGAAACCCTCACACGATACGGGCTGGGTACAAATGAACGGTCGGATTCTTTGGATCTTGTTGCAGGAGGAATCTGTGTGTGGCGAACGGCAAGGGTGGCGGTATGGGGTCAAGCCAATGTTGAAGCGGATTGGCTGATTGCTTGGCTAAGGTTAAGGTTCGTCCGCTAGGCTCCAGCGTGGCTTTGATGAGAGGAGGCGTACGGTCCCTCTGTGGTTTTGGGGGCACTGACATGTCGGTTCGATATTACCAATACCGTACACATAATTTGAAGTTTGCGTGTATGTGTATAGCGTATTTCATGGTGCATATCTTTGTGATTGCAATGAAGGACGAACATTTATCGCTCCACGCTATATACCATACATGGAGGGGGGAAAGCATGAAGCACTAGGAGAAATTTACAAATTTTCTCACCACCTCCATTTCAATGCAAGAATTTCTGTCGATGCTTTCTTTCTCCCCTTGACTCGCCTCGTCTCCTCTGCTCGACCCCGTCTCACCGTGATTCATCCCGTGTGGTCCTCGCGAATCGCAAGAGCCTCGCCTACCACCTTAGGGATTTTCTCCGCGGTCTAAATTCGTGCGCCATCCGCCAAGAAGTCGAGCAAGCCGAAGAACGTGCGGAAGCGGCAGCTGCTTAGCGAGGACCAGGACAGGGACAGCAGCAGCAGCGGCGGGGGCGACGAAGATGCGTCAGCGGGCGGGGATGTTGCTCCGAAGTCGAAGAGTGCGCGCCGAGCCGAGGGCAAGCTCGCCTTCAGCTCCGCCTCTTCTCAGCAGCGCGCAGCTCGCGCAGCAGCGGCGGAAGCGGGGACGGACGGCGCCGCGGAGGGCCCCGCGAAGCCAACAGTCAGCTTCGCATATGAGTCGGACCGACGCGTGCAGGTAAAGGGCGTGCCTCAAGACGCGCTAGTTTTTAGGTCCGTTTGCGTCCATGGTATGTGCCCCTGGTATCGTGGACCTGATTTCCCCCTCCCCCCTATCATCCAGCTCTCCCGCTAGCATCGTGGACCTGAATTCCGTCCCTTCCCTTCCCCTCGTGCGCCCAGATGGCGCCGGACAGCTGTGCTAAGGCACTTCAGAATTCTCAACAGCTTTTCCTCCCTTCCCTTTCCCTTCATCTTTCCTCTCCTTCTCCTGCAGATGGCATCGGACAGCCGTGCGACGGCGACAATAGAAACGGAGACGGAGTTTGACCGTGATTCGCGCGCCATCCGCGAGAAGGTGCTCAAGCAGGCGGAGGAGGCGCTCAAAGGGCGCGCGCGCGAGGGGGGCTCCGCTGCTGCTGGCCCCGCAGGCCCACCGGGGAGCAAGAAGGAGGTTTACAAGGGCATGGCTGGGTGAGTTTAGCTGGTGTGTTAGGGCATGGCTGGGTGAGTTTAGCTGGTGTGTTAGGGCATGGCTGGGTGAGTTTAGCTGGTGTGTTAGGGCATGGCTGGG